AAAAAAAAACACGTAAGTGTAAGGGCCCCGGGGTTTTTTAACAGTTTCCCTCTCTTCTTTTTTTATCCCTCCCTCTTGTTACCCCGTCTGGGCTGTCTTTCTCTCTTCCCCCTCCTCCCCCCTTCTGAAAGTCTGTTTTTTTTTCTCTTTTCCTTTTCTTTTTCTATCTATCTTTACCTACCGTGATGGCGCGGTGGTGGGACGGGGTTTTTGATGATCCCTTAAGGTCCCCCTTGCCGATGAGTTCTGTGTGGTTTATGAATTGCACCCCGGGGTTAAAGGTTTAAAATGGACGCAGATGGCCCGGGGGGGGCACAAACCCCCCCCGGGCCTTTGGGGTGGTAGGGAAAACCCGGGCCACAGCTGCTGGAACATAGACGCGGAGGCCCCCAGTTGGTTTTTTTTTCATGAGAGTGGGTTTTTCTTGATGCCCCGGGCCAAATAAGGGTTTATCTGTCAACATTTTCTTTTTTATTATGGGTGAAGCTGTATAGGAAAGGGGAGGTTTAGGGGAACTGTAGTGTTGGGGCACAAAAAAAGAAAAAACCCGGGGGCGATCTAGATGTGTTGGGCGTAGGGTAAAAAAGATTTAGATAAGGATATGGGGGGATTGTTAAAATTGGAAATGTTAGCTGCCCCGTGTTTAAACCCGTGGGAAATTCGGCTTCCTTACACATGCATTTTTTATTGTAATTTAAAAATTTTTTTTCAATATTATGTTATTTACCTAGCAGTAAAGAGGTACTTGGTTTGGGGGGAAAACCCCGATATTTTTGCTTTGGGGTTAAAATTGGGTTAAGAATCCAAAGGAGGTTCTCCCTATGCTTGTCTCAAAAACAATAAATTTTTCCCGCATACGGGCAATGTATGCTTTAAAGGCCGGGGCATGAAGCAAGAAATGTCAAAGGGCAAATTAGAGATTCGAGTTGAAAAAAGGAAATTTTGATTTAAAAAAAAGCTTTTGTTTTAGAACACTCAGTGGCGGCCTTGTCGGGGTCGAAACGGTAGGGAAAAAGTGAAAAATACACACTCCATTACTGAAACTTTTAAAAAGTACCAATCGAGTTTTTTTTTTTTAGCTTTTTTTAAAAGTTTTTTAAATACAAGGGGTAAATAGCCGAATAAAAAAAATTATCAGTTTTGGGAAAAAAAAAAAAATCAAACAAGGGAAAAAGAAAGAAAAAAAAACGTTAGGTCAAATACTTTTCGAAGGGAAAGTGTTTTTAAAAAAGAACCGAAAAAATCAGGACATTTTTGGGGGGGCTTTAATTTAAAAAAACGGGAAATTACTAGGAAATGTGCACCGGGACAAAGAACACCCCACACACAAAACAGAGGGAGGGGGAAAAAACGAGTCATGGTACGGACGAGGGGGTCAGAGTGGGGGCCTTTTGGCAAGTGGGGTTCCACTTGTGCTGTTCTTGGTATATGTGAACGACATAACGGAATCAATCGGATGAGGATCAGGCAGGACTACAAAGAGACCTGGGACAGGCTACAAGCCTGGTCCAGAAATGGTCTTGAGTTTAACCTGCCAAATGCAAAGTCATGAAGAAATTTGGGGGAAGGGCAAAGAAGACGCAGAACAGTATAGTTTAGATGGGCCCAAAAACTGCAAACCTCACTCAAGGAAAAAAATCTGGGGGTGAGTATAACACCGAGATATCTCATAAGGCGCACATCAATCAGATAACTGCTGCAGCATACGGGCGCCGGCCAACCTACGGATAGCGTCCGATACCTCGTAAAGGGTTCGTTCATTCTCTGTATACCATTTACGTCAGGCCCATTTTGGGGTATGCAGCACCAGTTTGGAATCCACACTAGTCAAGCACGTCAAGAAATTAGAGGGAAAATGCAAAGGTTTGCAACAAGACTAGTCCCAGAGCTACGGGGATTGTCTACGAAGAAAGGTTGAGGGAAAACGGCCTGACGACACTGGGGACAGGAGGGTCAGGGGAGGGCATGATTACGAATATAAAATACTGCGCGGAATCGGCAAGGAGAACAAAGACGGGATGTTCCCGGGGAAGGGACACAGAAACAAGGGGTCACAATTGGAGTTGAAGACTCAGATGAATCAAAGGGATGTTAGGAAGTATTTCTTCAGTCATAGAGTTGTCAGGCCGTGGAATAGCCTAGAAAGTGAAGTAGTGGAGGCGGGAACTATACATAATTTTAAGGCGAGGTATGATAAAGCTCATTGGGGCAGGGAGAGGAGGGACCTAGTAGCAATCAGCGAAGAGGCGGGGCCAGGAGCTATGAATCGACCCCTGCAACCACAAATAGGCGAGTACAAATAGGTGAGTACACGAATGCTTGCTGCATACTTGGCTCACGTCCAGCCTCGGAGGAGCTGGTGGAAATTCATGGTCTTTAATACATTGTGCCATTGTATTCATGTTCATGTTTTTTTCTGTAAATGTATTCTGTTTATTAATAAATCTTCACATAGAATATAAAATATATAGGGGGTGGTAGGAGAAGAAAATATTCAAACAGCTCCGGGGAGAACCTTGAGTTTTCCCTGAGGTACGTTTATGTATTGTCTTCTCTGAGGATGAGGGTCCCATTCAGCTAATGAGGTGGTACTTCCCTATATATTTTGTATAAAGTTATTATATATATATATATATTTATATATATTTATATATATATATATATATATATATATATATATATATATATATTATAGGTAGTAGGTTGGTAGACAGCAACCGCCCAGGGAGGTACTACCGTCCTGCCAAGTGAGTGTAAAACGAAAGCCTGTAATTGTTTTACATGATGGTAGGATTGCTGGTGTCTTTTTTCTGTCTGATGAACAAGCAAAATTTCAGGTACGTCTTGCTATTCTACTTACACTCAGGTCACACTACACATACATGTACAAGCGTATATACACACACCCCTCTGGACTTTCTTCTATTTTCTTTCTAGTTCTTGTTCTTGTTTATTTCCTCTTATCTCCATGGGGAAGTGGAACAGAATTCTTCTCCGTAGGCCATGTGTGTTGTAAGAGGCGACTAAAATGCCGGGAGAAAGGGGCTAGTAACCACTTCTCCTGTATATATTACTAAATTTGAAAGGAGAAACTTTGTTTTATTCTTTTGGGCCACCCCGCCTCGGTGGGATACGGCCGGTGTGTTGTGAAAGAAAGTTATTATATATATTATATATAGATTATATATATATATTATATATATATATATATTATATATATATATATATATATATATATATTATATATATATACATGTTATATATATATATATATATATATATATATATATATATATATATATATATATATATATATATATATTATATATATATATATATATATATATATATATATGTCGTGCCGAATATGTAAAACTGGTCAATTAGCAAGAACTCATTTAAAATTAGTCCTTTCTGAAATTTTCTCTTAAAGATATATTTTTTTCATTAATGTTAATGCAAAAATTTTTAATTTTTCACCAAAAGAATCTTAGAAAACTTACCTAACCTTATTATAACAAGAACAATTTATTTTAGCCTAACTCAACTAAATATATTTTAGATTTATTTACGATAATTTAATACTAAACAAACATAGTGAAATATATTTTTTTCGTTAGGTTCAGAATGATTTTGGCGAAATTATTGCATACACAAATTTTCGCTTGTCCTATATGGCAAGATGAGCGTTGCTATTTAAGCCAAGATCGCAAGTTCTGCCTATTCGGCACGACATATATATATATATATATATATATATATATATATATATATATATATATATACAGTGCAAACCCGGTTCTCGTCCTATCCGGTTATCGCACAATTCAGTTTTCAACCACTTTTTGGGGAAAAATTTTCCCCCTGTTTTCGTAAATCTGCCCGGAAATCACAGGCATACCTTAAATCGTCTCTCTTACTGGCACTTCGATGCTCGTTCAGGCGAACCGCAAGATCACTGCCTGTTTCGCTTAGGCAGAGACCTCGCGGTTCGCCTGAACGAGCAACGAAGTACCAGTAACAGAGACGATTTAAGGTATGCTTGTGTCCTCCACAGAGACTTCACAGGCCATTTGATGGACTGGGATGAGGCACAACTCGTTCTCGCCGAACAAAACCTTAGACGCCGACGGTGTCTAGAAGCCTCGCTAATCGCCGTCACCGACACAATAGAACGTAACACTGGAAACCACAAAATTTCTAAAACATTAGCATACATGATGATAAATTAAACACATGTGCAACTCTTGGGTATCTTTATTGAGGAAACGTTTCGCCACTGTGTGGCGAAACGTTTCCTCAATAAAGATACCCAAGAGTTGCACATGTGTCTAATTTATCAACGTGTCGGTTCTCTGAACCACTGATCTACAACCATTCATCTACAATATTACTTCTACTACTGCTACCACTATATATACCCTCTGTGTCCATGTACTGTTTGTAACGGCTTGACAAAGTTCCTGGAGAGCGAAACGTTGCCACAATAAAATGTCACATTAGTTGCATTTGTGTACTTTTACTTAATATAAGAACATTACAAATCGAGTGTGAGTGACTGAAGGATAAGTCACAATACCGTAGCTGCAACAGTTCATAAATAACTCGAACTTAAGCCACCATTCGATCTGCGCCATTATCAACTGATCAGATGATCAGCGATGATGATCCAGGATGAATCGAAACGTCCAAACTGTCAGTTATCTGTAACTAAATCTGAGCTTATAAACCGTGGGAAACGTGCAAAGTGTGGATTATTTATGTTTACAAACATCTAAAGTTTGGGTTGTGTTTACAAACCTTGAGAAACGTCCAAGTGTGAGTTATCTGTAAAAAACGCCCATAAATTTGTATTATCTGTGTTTACAATCCATAAGAAACGTCCATAAGTGTGGGCTATGTGTGTTTACACTCCATAATAAACACCCATAAGTGTGGGCTATCTGTGTTTACAATCCATAAGAAACACCCATAAGTGTGGGCTATCTGTGTTTACAAACCGTGGGATGCTCGATGGAACCAATAGTGGACGAAGTCCGCCGCCAGGAACCCTGCCCACCAGGCTGCCGGAGAGTTCCACGGGATGTCGAAGAAGCGGTACTGATAGATCCAGAGGTAACCAGACATCTCGAACCATTTGGTGAGCAACCTGCAACCGCCAGGACACTCGTTAGTCAGGGATCCTCTGGGATGGAAGGGGAGGATGCTTTAGGGAAGGACTCTTGTTCCAAGGCACTGAAGCTTGTCTCCCCTTCCTCTACGGATAAAATCTAGTTAGTTACCATTCCCTGGGAGCTGTATGGTCTCTACATCTGCTACTATTACTACTACTATTAATAATAGTAATAATCATAATAATAACAACAGTAACAGTAATGACAATAATAATAATAATAATAATAATAATAATAATAATAATAATAATAATAATAATAATAATAATAATAATAATAATAATAATAATAATAATAATATAATGGAAATAAATGGTATAAAATACCGACACAATGGAAATATAAACACATAAGCAGCATAATGTGATCCTTTATTGACAACGCTTCGCCCACACAGTGGGCCTTATTAAGTCACAAACAGATCTACCTGGTGAAAGGTACATGAGGATTTATAGAATGGAATCAGGTGGAGAATGCTGGGTAGGTTGGGTCTTACGAGGACCTGCACGAGACTGGCGGGTGCGTATGTAGTTATGTGGGATAACGATGAAGTTTCTTGGTAAGGGGTTCAGCTATGTTATAGAAGTAGTTGTTTTGGTTGAAGTTGTTGGATATACAGATAAGTGATGATTCCAGGATTCATCGGTATTGAGTGTTGTCTTCTCTGGTGATAAGTCTTGTGTTTCTGTAGCTGATTAAATAGCTGTGTGAATTTCGGTGTTGAACACAGGCATTCCTTAAATCGTCCAATCTGCCTGCATACTGGTGTCCTGAAATATGTGTTTGAGGTTTCTGGATGTTTCGCCCACGTATAATTTGCTGCAGTCATTACAAGGGATTATGTATGCAGAGGATTGAATCTTGTCCTGTCTATTACTGGTAATGTTCTTGATTGGTGGTGGATGTGGAGGTAGATACTTGGAATGAGGTATTGGAAAAGATATTAGAAACGTGTTTGACAATGGAGTTGGTGAGGAGGACTATGTATCTCCTCTCGGCAGTGTCTTCTCTGGGTGAGTTAAAGATGCTGTATGCCCTGCGTCCACAGTCTCTGATGAAGTGACGAGGATAATGAAGTTTAGAAAATACTTGTTCAATTATAGTGCATTCTTCCTCAAGAAACTCATTGCTGCAGATTCTGAGCACGTGCAGGAAAAAGCCTATAATTACACCACGTTTAGTTTTGGTGTCGTGGTGAGAATAGAAGTGGAGATCACGTTGGTTGGTAGGCTTTTGGTATTCCCCCTGAGTAGGATGCAACTAAGGTAAAGATCACTAATCAGTTTCTGCTGCACCTCTGAGGTAGGTGGGATTTAAGACACTCTAGGTCACAAGTAAAGTGTCTCTTTCGATACCCACAACCACAATCCACTTTTACTAGGCTGGGACCTAAAATATTATTTATTAAAATTAAACAAAACCAGGAATTCTGTTATAATTTAATATTACGTGGACTGTATAGGTTGAGTTTAACTTGACAACAGAAAACGGGGTGGAGGCCATTACATATTAATATTATTCCAGCAAATATTAACCAGTTAAAATAATCTTATAATTAACACATAAATTGGTATAATTAAAGAACTTTGTGCTACCACTTACCAACTCTTCTATGGAGGTCAGTTAATGTAGCTTAAACACCCTTACTATATAGAAACTACACTGGCCAGCTAGAATCTACATAAAAAGATAGTAAGTTATCTGTGAGTGGTGATGTCTCCTTATCTTTTCCATTCACTCGAAATTTCTTGCTGTCCTACCAATTTCTTGTCCCCATTTCTTCAACAGACCATATTATATTTCGTAATTGCAATTTTTTAAGACCTGTACCATTAAACTTCAGAAAACGCCGAATTTCTGGCACAAATTACGAAATGCCCTTACCAATTGAATTTCAACATGGGGTCCCACCCTCCCCCGGCACAATCGCAGATCGTCCATTCTCCACTTAAATTTTATCGAAGGTCAAATCAGCATCATTTTAATACAGAATTATATTATTATACAAATTTACGGGTGAAGTTCGTTAATCAACAACTTACATTGCTTCCTCCTCTAGGAGGCGATTCCAGTCAGCTCTAGCTCGAGTGGCTCTTCTCCTACTAGGCTTTATTACAATTTCTTCCTCTTGAATTCCTTGGTCGGCGTTATCTTCAATTTCACTCGTGTCACTTTCCATTAGATTTTAATTTTTATTTGACTGAACCCCATTTAATTCCAAAGGAATTAAATTATTAATGGTACGCAAGCTTTCCTGACCATGACACAACACTGACATTCCTGACAATACCTTGTGCATCTGGGTATAGAGTTAATACCTTGCCCATAGACCACAATTTTCTATGTTCCTCAGTATTAATTATATACAAGTCAATAGTTGCATGTTCTGTCATTACGCTCATGAACATAAGTGCTCAGTAAGTTAGAAGATACTCTTCACTACACATTGAGACACAATGATTAGGACTAAATTTAACTTTGAATTTTTACCAAGCACTACCATCATTATAATCATCAATTCCTCAAATTATCTTTAATGTGTAACAGCTTCCAATTCTCGTCCATATATTAGTGGAGACAGTGTGTCAATTTAATTTATCAGGAGTATCCTAATGAGAGGGACGTTATTTTCCGATTTTCACCCACAACACAGTACGAATTCTCAAATTATTCTTTTCGTGTACACCTTTTTACTGTACCTATTCATATCAAGTCGGCAAGAACACCGTGGATCAACTTTACATTTGGTTGGTGAGGTCGCCTGTGGACTTCACTTGATCACTCACAATCAACAAGCGTTAATCACAATTTTCATTCGTAACTTTCTGCTTGTAATAACAATTTTCATTCGTAACTTTTCTGCTTATATGTAACAATTTTCATTCGTAACTTTTCTGCTTATATGTAATACCCACAAGTCCCAACAGAACACACTCATTTTTTAATACACATACCCACATATTACGTTAACCAGACCATAAAATAACTAAAATCATTAAAAATCTAAGATCATTGAACACTAAGATCAATATTAATAAGATGATATGTTCATAAAAATCATGTTCACCAACTAACTCCATATCATGATTACTAATATCTAAGAACACGACACTAAGATCACTAAAACAACAATCACTTATGACACGATCACTAATACTGTAATCAGAGAACACACTCATTTTTATACACATACCCTCAAACACTATCTGAGAGCACCAAATCCATAAGATGATTACCAAAATCTAAGCTCACCACTAGGATCAACATCAACCAACACATGAAGACCTAAGATCACTATTACTACGATCACAGAACACTTATTTTTGTACACATCTCCTCAGAACACAAAATCATGAGCAGCCAAATCCATAAAGATGATTATCAAAATCTAAGTTCACAAATAAATAACAAAAAGGCACAATACCGTGACTGGAACGATACACAAATAACCCGCACGTCGTCGTAAGCTTCTCTCTTTTATGTGCGGGTTATTTGTGTATCTAAGTTCACTCAAGCCAAGACCACCAGCAACTAAGACATAACATGAAAACGAAAACTAAGACATAATCACTTTGATCATCAAAAAAGCTAAGACATAACCAAAATCTAAGAGATGAACACCAAAACTAACACAGGAACAATTTAAGCATGATCACAAAATAAGACATAATCGCAAAAGCCATGACATGAACAATATAACATGACCAACAGCTAACACATAACATGAACACAAAAATTTAAGACATGAGACATGAGCACCAAAATTTAAAGCCATGTGGGCCAAAAACTAAAACACTTGAACATTATGACCACCAACTTAGACATAATATGAACATATACAGTGCTCGTCACGGCATTATGCCGGGTGAGCGCTCCAGCATAATGCTATGATGAAAATCAAAGGCCTACCATACAGGGATGGGGGTCTTTTTTCGTTAGTGCATTCTGCTGGGTGGCCTACCACCACACTTCACAGTGACTTCTCATTGCTCACGTGGCTGCTATGGTGAGAGGAAGTGTTGCACTTTTGCCTCTCGTCCCTCCCATCTTTTGTTCAGTGTTCCCTTTGGTTTTGGTGCACATTTTGTTTGGAGGCACATGCGTTCCAGAATATATAATATAAATAATGAGTACACTTAGTATGCCATCAGCTTCGTCGAAGGAGAAGCATTAACATATCCATCATAGAATACTGCGAATATTTCTTGCTGTGTGTGTTAGCTCTCACTGATAGCTTAAGGAGGTCAGTTTCATCAGTCATAGCTAGATGACGACTCCTAGTGAGTTAGAAACTGACAGATACAAGGTGAGATTTTTACTCTCGTAATAAATAGTGCAAGCTAAGTGCAGTGTAGTTGTTAAACAGGATCTACTTTCCGGGATTCCCACACCATCATCATCGCATCACGATGGTTCATTAGTATTGTGTGGTGATCCCGCACCTTCACCCATGCATCGCAATAGTGCAGCAGTGGTAATCCCACTCCATCAGAGTACCACAATGGTGCATTAGTTTTAGCTTAGTGTTCTTACACCTTCACCCAAATCTTTCTGTGACCAGGGCCTGAACAACCAGGCTGTTACTGCTGGCTACACGCAGGTCGACATACGAATCACAGCCTGGCTGATCTAGTACTAACTTTAGGTGCCTGTCCAGCGCCTTATTGAAGACAGCCAGGGGTCTTGAAGACAGCCAGGGGTCTTGAAGACAGCCAGGGGTCTTGAAGACAGTCAGGGGTCTTGAAGACAGCCAGGGGTCTTGAAGACAGCCAGAGATCTTGAAGACAGCCAGAGGTCTTGAAGACAGCCAGAGGTCTTGAAGACAGCCAGGGGTCTTGAAGACAGCCAGGGGTCTTGAAGACAGCCAGGGGTCTTGAAGACAGTCAGGGGATCTTGAAGAAGCCAAGGTCTAAGAAGCCAGAGGTCTTGAAGACAGCCAGGGGTCTTGAAGACAGCCAGGGGTCTTGAAGACAGC